TCAAACCTGTTGAACCTACTGTGAACAGTCACACACACACACACATATCCTTGAACTACATTCACTCAGTGAGGTAAAGCTAATGAGTGCATTATGGTGTAAACAACAGCCTGACACACCTATAAACATAACACACACTGGTTTATGCATAGTAATGAAGCATGCACACCAATGACAACAGAAGTGATAAACATGATGCAGCACTATTTAACCAACAAAAAGTCATGACAAAAAATCCCAAGAGCAATATATCATGCACCTAATGAGTCCCATGATGTACATCACGGCTCAACTGATAATTTAGACAAACAGTGATTGATACACTGTTTAAAATAATAAGAATAGTCCTTATGCACTAGAAAAGCAGAAGTGGCCTTTTACAACGGGAAACCAACAAAGTCACATGCCTCGAGAGCCCTCACCTCCTCTTTTGTCGACTGTTTACAATCGCTGTCATATGACAAAATCCACAATGTACATAAAACATAAAAAATAAATAATTATGAAAAGACATGATAGAATGTTTCTATTTTTTTTACAATTGCTAAAGTGCATCTGCCAGACTTTCCCTCAGCTATAAAAAACATATTTTTCCTTTAAAAAAAAAGAACAAGTAAATTTTACTTTATCTTCAAAAAGTGTAAAAATGTCATTATCACCCATATTAAAACACCATACCAGCCTGTCCAAAATACACTTGAAGGTCGTTCAAGGCCATGTCATCTTAAGTGATTTTAATGCCATAAAATAAACTTAAAAACAATTTAAATGGTCAAAAGGGTCAGTAATGAAATAACCTTTTAATTAGAATGTATAAGTATTACATTTCATATTTTAATCAATCAATTCCTATTTCTACGTTTAGAATTGTATAATTTAAGCATATTAGAACATTATTTCTGCCATTCCAACGTCTAAGAAAAACAGCAGAGCATTGTTTAGCAAAACAAATAACGTACAAGACTTTTAACGGCTGCCGTCGTGTCAATAAAACAATGTTCTTCTCGTCGTGACGATAACATTCCCGAATTTATTACCCCATTCACAGGTACAGTTAAAAGGCAAACAACACAAGACAAACAGGCTTGGAGCGTTATGAGCACGCGCACCGCGGTCTGTCAAGCACAAGGACAATGCGAGAGGTGCACGAGCTCTGAGATGCATCGCTATGTCGCGGTCAAAACAAAACCAATGCATGCAGCTGCGAATGCCCCCAAACGATTTATCTGCAAGTTCGTGACATTTACCTCCAGGAGTCGTGCTAAAAAGGGTCCCTCCGGGCGTTGTAGAGTAATTATGAGGCATATGGGCCGCATCGTTGATTGTGACTCGTCTGGTGGTCGGAATTGCCTGACTGGTGGTCTTCTGACTGCCCAAGGACATTTTCAACACTAGTCTGCCAATCACTAATTCAGCCAGCTGCCTTTATCAAATAGTGTCTTTTCACCTTAAAGCAAAAGAATAAAACAGTTTAGCTAGAATTTAACCGGGAAATGTATATGTTAGCAGCAGTTCAGTATCAATTGAACGTTACCTTCTATAATTATTTACCTTGTCCGTTTGTGGCAAACTTGACTACATACAAAAATAAATAATACTAAATATTTGAGCCTGTATAACACTTCATTCACACATTCACACTCGCAAACTAGCTAAAATGCTAGGCTTCTCCGTGACCACGTTTTCTCTCTCACTCCTTCATGCACAGTTGCACACACCACGCACTCAACAAAACACTAACAGGAAAGGGCTATTTAAAACGGAGAATTGATGCAATTGCGCCCCCACTGGTGTGCGGCGGTATTGCAAGAGCCGATGGGAAATGTCGTTTTTTTTTTTTTTTTGACGTTTACACGAGTTGTTTCCGTTACGCAGATTCATGGACAAATCTTTACTTGCCATTCGTGAATTTTAATGCCAACATTTCCACCGAAATTACTTTAGAGATTATCTTACTTAGAGGGTGTTTTTTGTTACACAAAAACAAAATTCGGTTTGATTTTCTCTTAATTTTAACAAAATTATTTTTTTTAAAGTTACTTAATAGTCATTTTCGAATAATTTTTAAGTAGGCCTATCACACATTCTGTAAAAACATTTTTGGAATTCCTAATTAATTTTCTTTAAGTACACAAGCAACATCAGAAAAAACTAGGCCTACTGTATTTAACGTGGAAATGCAAATGTAATACTGGATATGTAAAATATGATTATTTAGTCAGCACCATAAGATTTTCTTTGACTATGGTGACAAGTTGGAGCTGAAAATTAGTTTGAACCCATCTCCGTTCATTAATTCTTTTACGTTAGATTTATAAATGCATATCAGTAATATTTGGCACATTCTCTCACACACGCACACAGTGTCACAATATGTCACATCTTTCTTTATTAATTTTTGTAAATGATCTGAGCTGGTGTGCAGGGTAAATGATCTATACATATCTTCATATCAGAATTAATCTGAATAAAAGGCTTGTATACATATTCAATGTTCGTATTTCCTCTCTCTGTTACAATAAAAAAAAAAAAAGGAAATGAAAACATGTTCAAATAGCTACAAAGCCTCTACATTCCCCATGACATGGGCATGTATGCATTACTGGATTCTAACTAATATACTTAAATACATCCATAACAACTCTAATAAGGGTGCATAGCATTCTAATTAAATATAGTTTGTCATATATTTATACATATATTCTTTATTAAAAACATATTTTTCTGTGCATGTGCGCAGTTGCATTCCTTAGTACAGAGTAATATGATATTGCGTTTATATTGTCATTAATCCATTCTAAAGGAGTATAGGTGAAGTCTATTTTTGCAACAGTTAAACATTGTACATAAACTGTTTTTAATACATAGTGATTGCAATGTTAAATCGTTTTGTTCCAAAAATAAATAAATAAAATTAATTAATTAATAAAAACGTTATCTTCCTTTCCCCCCTTTTGTTTTCAGGAATTTTATGTCTCGGTTAACAATTACAGCAGCGATAAAATATTGAACATGTATCCATGTCCTTCATGCTGAGGTCACTTCCCTTACCTACTTCCCAAAACCCCTGATAATCCTTATACTCCTTTGAGTGGATGTTGGATTTACCGTTAAGTATGTATTATTAAGTAGAATAATGGAAGAGAAATCATCTTGTCAAAATAAACCTGAGTGAACTGTAGAAAACAATATACAGCGAAAGCAGAACTCATGAGTGTTTTAATGCAAAGGGATGTGTGCAGTCTCACAAAGCACACAATTTCAAGAAATAAACAAAAACACTAGGATCTCATTAAACATTTTCTTAAAATATGAAGGTACAATCATTGTCATTCGTCCAATTGCTCATGCATTCCAGAAATCATTTTTTAAGTTTGGAGGATACGTTCATTTATTCATTCACTCTCACTCACTCACTCATTCAATGGCATCCCTCAACTTAAACTACACAAATGTGTGAGCCAGTATATCACGGTGTGCTCGTGACTAAGCTACTGTGCTGTGATTAAATGCTGAGCACCGTACCTGATTTCATTATGCTTGCCAGCCGTTCAAAGAAACCTTGTCCATTAAAGTGAAACAGCTACCGTTCAGTGAACTCGAGTTGGCATGTAGATCACGTAATTGCATACGGTGTGAGATACTCATGCATGCTGTTATATCTCTTGAATCGTATACTTCTTACAAATGCTACTAAAATGTCGGGTTAATACAGTTTATACTGAACACACAAGCGCTCGTAGACAGAAAAACACACGCACACACACCGACAACGACGCAGTATTCCAACTGGTGCAGCACGTTTGATATTATTGCTTTGGTAGACTATACTTCAAGAGTTTTTGTGTATGTTTGGGCTCTTTCGTACTCAAAAATAAAGAATAAACAACTAAAAAAACACATGCGAATGACGTTAATAGGGAATCGGTTACATGAAGTTGCAATAGAAGTAGTTTAAGCTTCTCATAGTTACCATATAACCTTGTTGGTGTGTGTTGGTACTGGTAAAAGTGAGACATTTGAAGCCAAAAAAGTGAGACAGACAGTTGTGAGTTCACAGTTCAGGGGTCAATTTTAAGGTGGACTTTCACAGTGCTGTCTGTATATTTATCAGTCTATTTTTAACTGTACATCTAAATGAAAAAAAAAAGAATAACCGAAGAGCAAAGTTTAAAATGCTTCCTTGTTGCGAAACTCCATCCGAAATCCCAAACATTACAAAGGCAGTTACTCAGAGATAGTCCCCAAGCCCCACACTTCACAGCTACAAATGTTTTTTTTTCACCAGCACAGCTTGATTAATAAATATAAAATAAATAAAAACATCCAGGCCTAGTGCGGGCCCAAGAGAACAGCATGCAATGCTACATTAGTCTGAAATCGGTCCGACATGGCGGTTTTAGTCGAGCAGCTGAGCTACAAATGTGGATGAACGGATGGTCGGTAGGGTCAGAAGTTAGAGTTGTGAACTGTCAGACAGAGAAAGCACATGCCCTCCTTAGGTTACCATTTTGGGTGTTACGTACAAAGCTACACTACCTGCAACAAATACATTGGTTAGTTTTTTTTTTTTTAAACAGAGGGGGGGCTTGAAATTCAAAATGAGAGATATAAAAGCAAAAGGTGGCTGACAGTTCAAAAGAACATGGCTACGCTTCACAAAGTGGAAATAAACTAACGTGGACGCTCACGAGAAGGAGAGCACAGTGGCTTGTTGTCATTCCCATGGCAAACACCAAATGAGCTCTGACCGATCCAGAAAAAGAGCTCAGTACCAAGCCAGAAGCGAGTACACATGCGTTAGATACCGACACACACGCACACACACCGACGCACATTCACATAGCATTAGAGTGCATATATCACATTGAATAACAGGATAAAGGGCCTGTGGAAAATGATGTGATGGGCCTAGCATCCACTATGCTGCTGTGTAATGACAATCAATTTGACAAAATAAAGAACTGTTGCTTTTTTTGGGGGGGGAGGGGACAAAGACCCTTTGTTTCAAGAGTCTCTTTGTTTTCAAGATCAAAGGTCCAAAGGTTTTTCCCTCCCCGCTGCCAGTCCTGGTACGGCCCTTTACCTTGTACCCCTTCAGTTTTTTAGATAATGACAGCTCATAGGTCATGCAGCAGCAGTCAGTCATGCGTTTACAGTTGACAGGAAGCACTTTTTTTTTTTGTGTGTGTTTTTTCACATTTTGTATAAAAAGTTCATGCCCTGTTTATTTTTTTCTTCTGTTAAAAATGTTACAAAACTACAGGTAGAGAACTCCTTCTCCTTGTTGTTTTCCGGTGGTGCTCCATGGTTGCTTGACTGTAGGATTTGGGCGCGATGTGTTGTTCTTTCGCTGCATGTTTTTTTTTTTCCCTCATCGCTCCATGTCTCATCCTGTCTCCCAGTCGTGCGTAGGTGAAGGATGGTTTGGCAGTGGATGTTCAACCCTGGAAGAGCAATCCTTCATGAACAAATAGCTAATTCAAAGAGACATTGTCTGAAGCAAAGTCACTCTGGCTAAAACGGATGGCCAAATCACTCAAAGTTCAGCAAAGCTAGCTTGCCCCTTGGGTTTGAAGTTGTTCTTATGTAATACACCAATCATTTTACCTGTCCCATACCTTCAGGACAGTTTGTGTTTATTTCAGTGCTTTACTCTCCGCAGGCTGGAGTGCTTCACAGTCTTGACATCCCTTTTCACATCCATGCCCAACTGGAGAAAAGAAGGAGGGAGGAGAGAGACAAGTGAAAAGATGACTGAATCATTATATACGTGTGCTAGTTGTTAACTAGTGGTAATCTGGGTATTTCATTAGTTTGACTTACTGAACAAATATTCCCTTCATAAAATAAGTCTTATGTTTTGAGTCTGAATGAACTTAATGAACTGAGATATCTCATTCAACTTTACAGCTCGAATAAAATCCATGCACAGCAGTTGACAAAAAACTAAAAAAAGATCTGCTTTGTTGTTATTTGTGGTAACGCTTGTGATGTTAAACACTCTTTGAGTCTCTTAGTAGATTTGTAGACAAGAAAATCTTAATAAATGATAAGCATTCACAAATGATTCAGTGACTTACGGTGCACAAAAAACACATTAACTTGTTGTCACCTATTGCCGTAATGATGTAACTTAACAAGGCAAAACTGAATCAATCAGTGAATGCATTTAAACAAATTTTTTTTGGTGAATGGTTTCAAAGAATCACTGAGATTATTCAAAATATTAATCACTTCAGGACAGCCAATAGCAGATAATAATATATACTGTAACAAATGTCTAGTCAAATAAACTAAATATGTACATTATGTGGTAGACATCCATCCATCCATATATATATATATATATATATATATATATATATATCCTGAATAATCCAAAGAATCCTGAAAAAATGCATTATGGCTTTCACAAAAATATTAAGTAGCACAAAAAAAAGAAATGTTTCTTGATCACCAAATCAGCATATTAGAGTAATTTCTGAACGATCATGTGACACTGCTGAAAAGCATTTTTACTGTATTTTTTGAAAAGCAGAAAAACCTTTTAAAAAAAATAAAAACATTGTAAAACATTACTGATCCAAACTTTTGAATGGCTGTGTATATAGAATAAATGTAGTTTAACAATAACAAATAGCAAAAAATAAATGAATTAGGAACAAATTAGACAATTATAAATGATAAAATAATATCTATGAAATACTAGAGAACAGAAAACTACATTGCCCATCATTATTAATGATATCTCAAAATGGTGAGTCAGATCAATACATTGGTTTGAAACTATTAAAAAAAAACTGAAAGAAAACATATGACCTACCTTGGTCACAACATTCCCATGCTCATCAGTAAACTGCTCTTCATGTAGATGATCACTGGTGAGATCTATTGGATCATCCTTCTGCAAGGAGGGAATAATTGTTGGATTAATTATCATTACCGAATAATTGAAGTCAAGACTGTGCCCAAAAACATGCTCTTTGCTCAGACCGGACAGGTCCAGGGGACACACCTGTGCCTTCCTTCTGTCCTGGTCCCATGCACGTAACTCCCCCTCCTGATGGGAGAAGCCCAGCCCTTTATCAAAGGGCTGAGTGCCCAGCAGACGCCCCCGCAGGACCTCTGAATGGCCTGTATCACATACCGGTGTAAGCAGGGCCTCCTGTGCTACACGTGACTGATTGTGGTCCTGGGACGATGACATCATGGCCTCCATGGTCTGCCTCGCTTTGGGTTGGGACCAGCTGTGGAGGGAGTCTTTCTCCTGCGAGTAAGGCTGGAAGGCACCGCCGCTGAGCCTGCAAAGGATTGATGGTCAAAGACGGTGTAAAGATGTCTGTCTAAAGGGCCGTTCACAACAAGAACTATAAAGATAACTTTAAAGTTTTAATAATGGTTCTAATTCTATGAGAATAGTCCACACCACAACTATAACATGGAATACTAATGTAATCCGTACCTGTCCCCATTGTGTTCAAGGGCTCGGGTCAGTCCGGTTCTCTCGCACAACTGAGCGTAGAGCTGTTGCCCTGTAAGAACAGAAAACTTTTCCTCTGAACTTGTCCCTTTTCCACCCTTTCCTCCTCCTCTAGCTACACCCGTCAAACTGCCACCCGCCGCCGCTGCCACCTCTGTCCTCTTGCCCTCCGACCTCTGACCTCCAGCTTGCCCATTGTAGTTGGCCTTTGGGACGGCGCCGCTGGCCCATGCTTTTTCTGTGCTTGCCGACACCGGCTCATGCTGTATGTCGTCTTCCTCTATCTCCTCTTCCTCCTCCTCCTCCTCCTCCAGCTCCATGATGGAGCCACTTGCCCCGCTTGCTCCGCTGCTGGGCCTCCCCAAACTGCTGCAGGGCAGGCTCAACGTGTTGGCCTCCGAGTCATCTGCGCGGCTACTACCATCCAGGGACGAATCCTCAACGGTCACCAGGGACGGACTGACCCCCGCCGGCCACACCTGCACATCTGACATCTCCATCATGGTGTCCTCCTCAGTGGTGGCAATGGGCGCACACTCCAGACTCGACACCTCCTGCCAGTAGGGCTCGATGCCCAGTGGAGAGGGCAGGCTGTACTGCATAGAAGCGGGGGAGAGCAGCTCCTCCTGCACCAGCCCGTAACCTGAGAGATGGCCAAACAAGAAAGGCAACGCTAACACCACACAGACACAGTGGGGGTACGTGGGGAGTCTTGACCCTCTCAGAAAGGTCATGCAGAACACAGTGCTCTGGGTGCAGTCAAAGTCTGTCAATATATACAGTAGGTGAACAGAAGTGCTTTAACGCAAAGCATTAGCACAATAACAGGGCCACAGAAAGTTCATTCTGCAGAGAGTGATTGAGTTCACTCACAACAAGCAATCCGATTTCAACTTGTAAAGGAATTTTCAACTTCTAAAGGAATATTCTGGGTTTTTTCAACCTTGGGGCATTTTAAACAAATTTTGCATTTACAATGATGCTTTAATAAATGGAGGTGGTATAAATATATTTTAAGCAGAATTTACAATCATGGGACACTGTATCATGCTTGAAAACTGATTGTTGGAGCAGAGCAAAAGAGAAATTCAAGACTATACTTTAAGCAAAATCAAGTGTCGTCATTTTGAACAAAATCAGGCCAAATAAGCTTGTTTTTTTTCAGGAGTTTCGAAACAACTTGCCCAAGATAAACACCTTCGAACTACCATTGGTCCATGGTGATTACGTAATAGGTACGCCGCCTTCTTTGACATGGAAATCTTCTCCAATTAATTTCTTTGTTTGTTAAGGTCAGTGTGTTGATTTTTCTTCAGTGTCATTGTTTTTACTTCAGTGTGAGTAAAAACAACAAACTGGAGATCTACTTAAAGGTGACATATCATGAAAATCTGACTTTTCCAGGTTTTAAGTGCTATAATCAGGTCCCCGGTGCATCTACCAACCAAGGAAACGTGAAAAAGATTAACCCGTAACTTTGTTTTGGTAAGCTGTTTTCTGCAAGCGTCTGAAAAAACGAGCGCGTCTGATTTCGCTCCCTTGGTGACGTGGCAAAGGGATCTCATTATAATATTACCGCCCCTTAATCTGCACGTTTCCAGCCATGGTGCCTTCATTTGATTTCGCAAGCGACAACGGTGTACCAGTTCTAATGCCATGGTGAAAGTTTGAGCAAACTTGCTAACTGTTCTGTCTTTGGCTGCACAGACAAGCACAGAACACT